GTGGTATTTCACAAGGCTATGAGGTTTACCACTCAACCGTTTATTACCCAAAATTTTTCTACGCGGTACATTTTTGGTCGTTGGACTTTTTTGCAGTTCTTCTTTGTAAAAGACTTTTTTAAGTGGTAGTCCTTGCAACGTTTTTAGGTAAAAAACTGGGGCAGAAAAGTTTTCCGGCGTAACCACACGCATAATTCGGTAAACTTCACCAGAAAAGGTTCCTTTGTAGGCTTTGCGAAAGCTGACTTGTGGTTTCTTTACAATTACGTAGTCGTCAAGTGCTAGTGGTGGTTCCGGGTCTTCTGAATTTGGCTGTTACGTCGGTGGGTATGACAGTGTCGTGTTTCATTTCGTTAGGTGTCAAACCTTTTAGGGGTTCGGTCGGTGTATTGTTGAGACCTTCGACAATTTTTGGTAAGACGTTAACCCAGTTGTAAGTGTTGTTCTCGGTAAAATATTTGTAGATACGCGATTTTAGATCACGAATTTACGTTCAGCAGGTGCTGCTTTTGCTACACCTTTCGTCAAAATGTGACGAATTTCATTGGCTTTCAGATAGGCTTTCATTGGTGCACCAGTAAATTCGAGACCTTGATCGGTGGTCAAAAATAGGGTGCATCGCCAATTTCCTTGTAAATTTGCTCTAGACGTCGTTTTACGCTTTGGGGTCTCTTGTTTAGCAATGGTCTAGCAAACGTTTTTCTTGAAAATAGATCAACAACTACCAAAATGTATCGTTGGCCCTGGTTGTATTGCTTGATTTTTGAAAATCAGCAAGATCTGCGACATGGTGACTGTTCATACTAGTTCCTATGAATTTCTTTCTAGGAAACTTGTGTAAAACTCTTCGGTGAAGGATGTAGGAATTTTTCTTTTGAAGATATTTGTCCACTTGTCCTTTTGTGATGCCATATTTTTTACTTGCTACTACAAGGTTATTTCTAGAAGTAAAGGCAATGTTCGAGTCGGGGTTAGTGTACAGTTCGTCCAGTATCTTAGTTGTATTTTGCAACTTTGAACTTCTTTTTGCCACTACCTGTTTGGTTTTCGTCATCGTCTTCCCAAATTTTATGTCGAAGTTGTTGTTTAGCTATTAGTTCTTTTTGCAAGTTTTGGATACGTTTTAGCACACTGACTTTAGGGACCGTCTCGGGCGATGTGTTTTTAGTGGGCGTTAGGACCGCCTTTTGTATGTTTTGAATGGTACGTGGGACAAAAGTTGGTTCCTTCAGGTTTTTGACAAGTCTTGGGGTCTGGACTTGTACTTGGTGGTATGCGTCGTTATAACCTATTGGAAAGGGATGTGTTGTTTCGCTAGCTGCCACCCTGGCGATTTCAAATAGGTCACTGCCCTCAATTGGTTGACCATCCGCGTCCAAAACTCGGTTTTTGCTGTCAGTTTTGACATGTTTTGACAAAAGTTCCATGACTTTCTTATAGGGGTTTTGTTTTGAAGGTTTGCGTCGTGCTCTTTTACAGGTACAACTGGAGTTTGCAAATTTTCTTCAGGTAACAAAGCTAGGTTTTGTGGTGTTTGCTGTTGCAAAGGGTCGTACTTTCGAATTTCCTGGATATGTTGTGTCAAAACATTTAGAAACTTTGGTACAGTTGCATTTTCAAGTCGTCAGGCATTGTACTTTGAAGTACATTCGTCATTTGTTGTTCAGTTTCTTTGGCTTTTTCAACGGCTTGTTCGCGCGGGGTTTGGGCGTAACCATCGCCTTGTTGAGGGTTTTCAGTGCAAGGAACTAGCATCATCTTTTCAAAATGTTTTTCCGTAGTGGGCATTTTTAAAAGATAGAGCAGGTTTTGTCAAAAGCTTTAGCAGTTGGGCGTGTGTTTCAAGACTATTTCGCGCTTGTGTAAAATCGCGTAGTTTAGCGAGGTTCGTCAAAGTTGCCAAATGTGGTTCAAGACCTTTTTCTCGTATTTATAGAGTGGTACCGTGCCTGATGTTAGGTTGTAAACAAACTCGATGACAGTTTGTACTTCTTGGTCGGTACTTTTCTGAATTACAAGTCTAGGGTTTGAACTTTTTGCAAGTTTGTGAAAAATTTGCCAATTTTCAAAACGTTTTTCCATTTGCAAATGAATGTTTGGGCAAGTAGAAAATTTGCCTTTTATCTGGAAAAATGTTGGTAACCAGTCTTTCGTCTCGGTTTTCAGGCTTTGGGTGACAGTTGACCACCAAATATTGATATGGTTTTGCTGTTGCGTCCAGATAGCTATCCCAAAAGTATGCAAACTGGTTTGGGAAACATTGCAAACCTATTTGTCTTGCTTGCAAAAGGTCAGAAACGGACCGTAGAAGGACAATGTAGTTTGCGTTGATACGCGCGGTACGTCTGGTACGAAAAGCATCTTGACTTAGGAAAATTAGGGTACAGTTTTGGTGGTGGGTAATTCGTGAAGTCAAAGCAGCCATTACATTTTCCTTCATGTCCAGCATCAAGTCGTCAAGGATCACTACAGCGTTTTTCGGGTTATCTACTTGTTCATTAGTCGGGGGACCTTCGAAAATATGAAAATTTTGTGGCATCGTAGGAAATTTGTTTTCCATTTCTTGTTTTGAACCAGTAAAATAGTAAATATTTTCGACATTTTCGTGACCTTCAAGGACTTGTTCGATATATTCGAGTAATTTCATTGTCCAGGTTGTCTTCCCACCCAAAGACTGGCAAAACACAAAAATAGAACACGGGTGTTGAAATTTAAACGGTTGTCTCTCCATTTTTGGCAAAAACCGGCAAAATTGCGCTATTTATCCTAGTTTTTTGTCAGGTCTTGCAAAAGGGGATAAGGTCTTAAAACCCAAAAGTATTCGTTGTGTAACTTGTCGAACAATACATCCCGTGAATGCGTATCGGACACGTTGCGGTCTCTCGTTCAGGTTATCACCTTCTCGCAAGGGGCGCAACGCGACCACTACACCTTCCCTGCGCTTAGCGCAAAATTTACACGCAAAAACGGGGATTCTGGTAGACGTGTTAAACTTGAAAAATTTTAAAAATATCCAAATGTTTAAGTTAACCTGTCAAAAATCCATGGGAAATTGGGAATAAAATACCCTGGGGAAACGAGGGTAAAATACCCTGGGGAAACGAGGGTAAAATACCAGGGCAGAAACGAGGGTAAAAACCCATGGGGGAAACGAGGTTAAAAACCCACGAGGGTAGCGAGGGTAAAACAACCTATACTAGTAGTATAGGTTGTCTCTCCATTTTTGGCAAAAACCGGCAAAATAATGACGAAGAAGATCGAAAAGCGGCAAAAATACCAAATATTGGAAGTGAATGGCGTTTTCCGAAATGAAAAAACCAATTAAAGTGCCAAAATTCGGCAGGTTTTCCTAGGTGCCAGCAATTTTTGGTTGATCCTTCGAATTTTCTCATGTTTCGGAGGTTAGGGAATTTGACGCTTTTTGCTGCATCAGAGAATCTCGCTCTTTTTTCAAACGGGGGGTAACCCTGGTAAACTTTAATTTCAGTAGAACTTTTTTGTTTTACAATAAGTTGCTTAGAAAATTTGGATGCACGTAATTTTTATGTGTAAACATTGAACACATATTCCTATTGAAAAGATACCTGTTTTTTAGAAAAACGCTGAATATCGGACGGATCAGAATAAATCTTAGAAAATGAAGCCCGCTTGTTTTCTCGCCTTTTCGCGGGCTTTCGAATGATATAAAAATCATCCTGATCTGAGCTTCCCACGGACCGCTAGAGGGGGGTTTTTTTTGGGACACCCTGTATTTGCATTCGTACTTCCGTTTTTTTCAGGAGGGCCGGCGAGTGAGGGGGAATCTGCAAAAAAATGTTTTGCGATGGCAGGCGATGTCTGGTAGAGTGATTTTTTTTGTTTTTTTTTGCGATTGTCTATCTATCGTAGGATTCCCGAAATCTTTCGGTGAATCCCTAAACCGTAAAAATAAGGCGCACCAGCAGCCGGCAAGGGGTGGGGGTGGTGTTTTTTGGAACGTAAAAAATTACGTCTTCATCGAGGAAGAGGTTGAATATCATTTGGTGAATGACGTCAGGCAGTTCGAAGCCATTCATCTCCAACCGTCAACGAGATCTGGAAAACATTGTTATTGCAGATCAAAAATAATAATATGAAAAACACAGATAAAGTGAAACAGTCTGGAGATGCTTCTTCGAATGAAACTTTTCTTATTATGAAAAAATTGGGCCAAAAAAGTTTCGCTATGCTGTTCGGTTGTATGCATAACTAATGCGAGATCTAGGGCAGGGTGTTATTCGAACGAGCGCACCTTTTGGCCCAGTTTAGTTTGGCACGTCTCTTTTTCCAATGGACAGGACTAGAGTACACCTCGAAAGTCGGAGAATTTTTTGCTAAGTATCAAAGTGCTTTTGGTAGTAAAGTATTAAATATTTAGGTTTCCCGCAAGTCGGCTTGATTACATGGTTCTAAGCTGACAAGGAGTGAATGTTGTCGTGGTTTCCTGTTAAGACCAGGACTAGCCTGTTCAGACTTTTGCGCTGGTTTCGAGTGTGTTTAGCAAATTTGCGGAATCGCCGTTGTGCCCAAGTTATGAACGATTTGTGTCCGGTAAAGTGGAGCATCGTGGGCGTTTCTTGGTCTCAAAACGCATATAACTTTCGCAAAATGACGATTCCACAAATTTGCTAAACATATTCGGAATCAACGCAAAATTCTGCACAATATGGGCTTGGTCGCAACTCGAAACCCCAACGACACTCAAAACGTCGACTGGCTATAGCTACCGGGTAAGCCTAAGCTGGTTAGAGCTGTTAACGTTTATTAGCAAATTCTCGGCCCGAGGGCCGGATAATGCGGCAGTAAAACAATCTCGAAAGAATACACGAAATGACACGCAGGTCATTTAAAATAGGGGCTTACAACATTTTCAGGGAGAAATTGGGAGGATCTATTGATCACAAATGGATGGGAGATTCGGGAGGGGGCACGAAAAATTTACAATTTAAAAGATGACTAGAGAATGGTTATCGCTTCTTTTAGGCTTGATATTGGCGGTGGGCGGTGATGTGCTCGACGTATGCGTCCCTTGACCACTTCAGCGCGTCGGCGACCATCAACTTCTTCATCAGCGCGGCGTACTTGACGGAGACGGCGAGTCGGCGCAGCACGGAGTCGTTTTCTTCGTCCCATCCGCCGAGTGGCCCAACGATGAGGGCGCCCAGGAACGTGTCGTAGCCATCCGCGTTGAACTTGTTGAAGATGTCGGCGAACTTGCGGAGCTTCTCGGCACGTGCGGCAGCGAAGACGTCCAGGTCGTGGTTCTCGAACGGCATGGTCACGTCGACAATCGTCACGCGCTTCCTGACATGGTCGACGAGGGCGAGATCGGGACGTAGTTGACCATCGGTGCCGGGGATCTTGACATTGACGTACTTGGTGGTGGTCGGGGGCAGCTTGACGGCGTTGACGAGGCGGTCGAGGACGGCGTTGTGGCGCAGGGTGATGGCGTGGGCGTGAGCAGGGCAATGACACAGGACGTGAGCGACGCTCTCGAGTTGGTAGCCACATCTACGGCAACGCTTGTCTTTTTGATCACGGGCACGGTTGCAGCCATTTAGTGGAACGACGTCGAGTCTTGCACGGTGAACGAAGCGCCAATCCGCAAAGCGGATATAGCGTCCGTCACGCAGGAAGTAGTTGGAGACGGGCTGGTGGGCGGTGATGTTGTAGACCTTGCCCTGGCTCTTCTTGGCGGTGAGGTGAACGAGCTGAGCTTGATGGACGGCGCGCTTGAGCATCTTCTCACACGTCTTCTTGGTGACGCCACATCCGAGCACGAGCAGTTGAATCTTGTCGTTGGTCCACGCCCACTTCACATCGAGCTTGTCGGTCTTGACGAGGTGGCCGGTTGCTTGTCGCACTCTTGTCCACATGTTGCGGGTGTCGGCGTAGTACGTCTCGAAGGCGCCGTCAAGCTTCTGGTTCAGGTAGTCGGCCACTTCGGAGTCGGTTGGCGCACGCTTGATTTTCTTCTGCACAGCCGTACGGAGCAGCTGAGCAGTCATTGGGCCGAGATCAGTCGACTCCAACAACTGGACAGCATGCACCAGCTGCATCACGTCGGCGAGGGTCTTCGTCTGGATGAGGCCGAGGCCTCCCATGTTGTGCGGCAGGTAGAGGACTTCGGGGCTTGCTTGACTTGGAAGGCTCATCCACGACTTGGCGAACTTCTTCAACTTCTTGTCGAACGGGATGAGGTGCTTCTTCTTCTCGACGTGGCCATTCTTCAGATGGAAGGCGATGCAAGGCAGGATGAAGGTGTTGACGGGGTCCGCTTTTTGCCATGGGCGAGTAGAGAAGAGTGTATTTTGTCGAGGCACTGGTGCATTCGCGATGGTCTTGTCTGCAGAAGAGCCTTGGTAGTAGCCGGTGGCCTACCCCAACGACACTCAAAACGTCGACTGGCTATAGCTATCGGGTAAGCCTAAGCTGGTTAGAGCCCTAAAGCCAGTTTTTAGCCAAAGAATTGGCTTTGCTCCCTTTTCTCTGGACGTAATCTCTTCCCCGTTTTTTGCAGAGCGTTACCGGCTGGTTCATGCCTATTTTAGGAAAGAGCTGATCTATAACAGCATTCTTTATCACTTCAAAAAAAACCTGCCGACTCGTGGCTCTTTAAAATATGTCACGGATTCGTGTTCGTGTACGCAAGTACCGTATCCCCTTCGAATTACGGATTTTCATACACACAACAAAACCCGTGCTGCAAAATCGAGCGAAATGATTCATTCTCTTGATTCCAGCAAAAATTGTCGTTCCTAGACGCTGTGATCATATGAATGACGGTTTATACTGTAACGGCAATTTAGCAAGTGGTTCTCTAAACTCGTTGCTTTTTTTTGCTTTCGTGCTTTCTTTATGCTGCTTTGTGCCGATAAACCATATCCTGAAGAAAATTATTTATTTCGCGATGGAAAACACATCGGAAAAAAAAACAAAAAAACAACTTCAAAATGGAAAATGGTACGCAAGGCAAGCACTTCGTCGATATTTTTTAGCTGATCATAATTAGCTGACAAAAAATCCTAACTATAGCTTAAAAGTATATCGGCGAAGGCATTTTCGGCGTTTTCGAATTTAACAACGTTTGGAAAATCAGGGTAAATGGCGATGCGGAGCTGTGAGAGAAAATAATCTGGGCAAAAAACACACTAGTAGACAATCCCGCATCATAAAAATTCTTGGTTCCCGAGATCGGTATTATCAAATATCAGCATACGAAATTCAATATATAAAATTTCGATATTCAATGGCAAAATTATGAAAGTACACTTCCAGAACACACTTCTATTTAGGACGCTAGGCTATGCTAGAAGATCACCTTTTAGTTCATGTGATGGGAATTTTGGATGCTATTCCCAAACTGCTCGATCCTCTCCTCACCCCAAGCAGAGATAACCGTATCAAATTTGCCGGCCGTCAAGGTTAGCACCATGCCGTCACCTCGTTGGATCCTTGCCACCCGTTTGTTAACAATCGTTTGATTATATCGGTCAAGGGCCCAGGCTCTCGCAGATATTGGCTGCATCGCCGTATGCTCGAAATGAATTCGCTCGACAACGCGTTCATAGTTCATCCACTGGTCGAGCAAGTGGCGAAGGGTTAGAAATGGATTTTCGTAGGCGTTGTAGACGTTGATCCGCTCGTTTCGGAACTGATGATACCATCGTTCGCTTCGCAGGCCTTCCGGATATCGATACCGTATCTCGACCGCTTCTTCCGCGACAAAATCCACAAATTCCTTGGGCGGATATGGGCCCCATACACGGTGGGCTACCTCGATTTTTTTGAATTTCCCGTCGGGTTTCTTGAATCTGGCGAGTTCGGGAATGGTCCAGGCGAGCGGGGCATTGACGATGAGCCAATCGGCAATTAACGGTGGCAAGGCTGGCGCTCCGGGAACCTTGTCGGCGACCAGCACCCCGACGTGAGCTCCTTCAATGAACGGCTCCCAGGCACTCGTTAGGCTGTAGTTTGCTCCATTTCGGTCAAATACCACAGTCTCCCAACACGACCGTGCTATTCGGGCGAAATACCGTGGATTCGAACAGACGAGGCCCCAGTTCTGGCGGCTTGTGAGGGCGAGAGCCATGAGAGACCGCAGGTTGCATTGTATGTAGCCAATGATTTGGCATTTCACTTCGTATGGCAATTTGGGGAAGTCGAACGGAAGGGCGCAAGCCGTTTCAGCCAAGTGGCCAGACGGCGGATCGGGAATCTGCAAATAAGGCGTTAAATTGCATAAAATAAAAAATTCTCCAGATATTCTCCAAAAAAAGGTAACTAAATTTCCAGTGAAAAAAATTAAATTTTTGAAATTTAAATCTTGCCAAAAATCTGGATCTTTTGTGGAAAGCCCCCAAAAATGAATTTTCAAAATGTCGAAAATCATAATGTCGAAATTTAAAATGACAAATTTCCATGACATCGAAATTAAATTCATAATGCCGAAATTTCGCGAGAACGAAATCCATAATGTCGAAGTTAAAGTCGGAAAATCAGAATGCCAAAATATCAGAATGTCGAAATTTCAAATGGCGAAATTATTGGCGATGAAATTTCGACTTTGCGGAGGGTCGACATTTTGAAATTTTGACATTATGAAAATTCGATATTATTAATTTTGACAGTATAATTTTCGACATTAAGATGGCAAATCGCTAGATCAATTGATACCATACTTCTTGACCAAGGAAGAGGCTGCACATCCTTCGGTGAATGACGTCAGGCAGAGCGAAGCCATTCATCCCCTCTAACCGTGAATGAGCTCTGGAAAATATTATTGTTATAGGTATATAAATATTAAATATTACTTAAAAAGTTATAAATATTACTTAAAAAATGATAAGTAGTGATACAGCGCTTCGTCTCACGCCTGTCTCTTCAAAAATTTGGGCCAGAAAAGGTTACCTCGGGTGTCAAGTTTGTATGCATAACCAATGCGATATCTCGGACTGGGGTGGCATTCGAACAGGCGCACGTTTTGACCCAGGTTAGTTCGGGATGTCTCTCCCATTCCAATGGACCGGACTACAGTACACCTCGAAAGAGAGAGAGAGAGAGAGAGAGAGAGAGAGAGAGAGAGAGATGAGAGCGAGAGAGAGGGGGAGAGGGAAAGAGAGCGAGGGAGCGATAGAAAGAAAGGGAGAAAACAGAGAGCGACAGAGAGAGGTGAGAGAGAGAGAGAAGATAAAGAGGGAGACAGTGCGAAAAGCGGAACAATATCGGGTTAACGCGCATGCAAAGCTCTGACACTGCTCGTTTCTTTGGATGTCCCACGTGTTTCATTGTCCTGCTTTTGGTTTCTTTAATTGATTTATTCAGTTCATAAACCAAAAATTGATACACTATGCCTAATAGAAACGAATGGCAAATGGGACGTGAATGGCACTATTTCAGGTTCTGGTTCTGGTTTCATCAGCGGGGGGTTGAAGGCCACGCCCACCTCCTCTTTCTTGCCCAATCAGCCGTTTGGAGGGCATACCAAAAATGTCCCCAAAAGTAACCCCTCAGCGGCGCAACGTCTGTCCGATTTCACCATTTAGGTATCTATCGGAAGCTCTCAAAAAAGGCAAGAAGGCAAGGACCGCAGTTTCCTTTATTAGCTAATTTTACGTCCAAAAGCATGAAAACGGGAGATTTACGCGAGATTTGCATGCTAATTGCGAAATTCCTATTGAAAAGTTAGCTGTTTTTTAAAAAATGTTGAATATCCTGCACATGAGAATAAATGTTGTGAAATAAAGCCCGCTTGTTTTTACTCGCCTTTTGAAGAGCTTTCGAATGGTATAAAAATCATCCCGATCTGAGCTTCCCCGGGAACGTTAGAGCGGGCGTTTTTTTGGGATACCCAGTAGTGGAGCTTGCCCATCCCCCCGCTAATGACCCTGGACCTATTTTAGTCACAGGGGTTTAAGGCTGAAACGCTTTTTGGTCACTATCAATTCCATTACACTACCATCTTCTCTGCGAACCCTTGCCATCTGGTTGCCATGGTGAACAGTAGTGTGGTAGCGACCGAGGCCGTAACTCCGCAAAGGAAGAATCGGGCTTTGCGCGGGGTCGACGGCGTCAAACTCAATATTTTCAATGTCACGTTCATACTCATGCCATTGATCAAGTACGATGAGGAGATAGGTTTTGAGGGCTGATTGCCGGCTGCCTCCATGCAGGGTCACACGCGAATTCTTGAATCGGCCACACCACTGTGCTTCTCGTGGGGAGAGTGGCACTCGAAGCACGAGCTCTTTCGCTGAGTCGCGTATGTAATCGATAACTTCTTCGTCGGGATCGCCGTTTTTGTAGTGGAGCTGGATCGTCTGGAATTCGGTGCTGGAGCATTAGCGGGGGGGAGGGCAATTTCCCCAGTATCCCTTATTAATAAGTGAGCCCCAGTAAACTATTTCTTTAGGATTTTGTGCAGTTTTTAAATATAAAAAGCATATCAAAAATTATTAAAATTTTCGACCGATGTAAAAAAATGTCGGAGAAATCAAGTCGGAATTGTCAAAATTTTCAGATTATCAAAGTATTATATTCGATTTCGCAGCGGCCAACGACTGCGAAAAGAGTTCCGTTGGTAACCCCGACAAGTTCCGACAAAATTCCGACACCCAGAATCCCGACAACCAGAATACCGAAATGCAAAAATGCCGACTGACCAGAATACCGATAAGTTCCCTAACGATTTTTACAATCGAAATACTAGTTAGGACGACATTTAGGTTGAAACAGCATGTGTGGCATGTCGGTATTTTGGCTTTCAGAATCCGGAATGTCGGTATTTTCATATTTTGGAACCGGCATTACCTGGAATTTCTTGTGAGGATCCCTAAACTTCTCCAAATTCTCGACAGTCCATAGGTGAGCATCGTCAACAACAAGCCGGTCAGCGCGAAATGGTGGTATTGATGGGAGCCACCTTCGGATTGGGGTCAATGATCCAGCATGGGCGCCCTTGATGAATGTGCCCCAGAAGTTGAGGTCAGAGATTTGGTGTTGCACCCAGTTATGGGATACGGTGACCGCTACCCCGACCCAGCCACGTCGATGAACGTCGACCCGCGAGAAGTAGCGCGGCCCCGAGCAGATGCGGTTCCAGTTG